TTTTTTATTTATACAATTACTCATTCACTATTTATCACAGCATAGAACACATATGTCAGAACTGGACAATTATCTTGTATGATATATAAAAATAAATATTAAGATAAGAAAAAGATAAAAAGCTGAAGTAAATAAATTAACCAAATAAAATAAGAGAAATAATTAAAAGATACATAAAGTCAACTAAATACATCAAATACCCCGTATTGAATGCTATTACTAAAGAAAATTCTAAGATAATTAATATTTTTGTTCTTAGTAATTATTTTTCATTAAATTTTAAAAAATCTTAATCTAACATATCTAAAAATTACTTATATTCTAACTTACAAACTTTTTTTATTAAAAATCTTTTATTTTGACAAAAGAAATTTATATGTAGATTACTGCACAGTGAATATATTACTCTTGATACATATATACAACTCTTGATACATATCTTAGAAAACAAAGAAAATTATCAATTAAAAGCATATATATATCTATATATGCCTATAATATAACTCAATATCGATAACTTTTATATCAGTTATCGTCGTTATATCAGTTATCGTATTATTTCAGTCACGTCAGATAAAGTACGGAAAATTCATTTTCATATTAGTAATATTATTTTTATATCACGCAAATCACGTTTGACTCAACATAAGAATTGCTTCCGGCCAATGATAAACAGGAAGAGATAAAAATATTAGCTAGAAGAGAGTTGTCTGTCGCGAATCTATAGAGATAATAATATGACGTAAATTCAATAATATATCCTTGTATACAAGATGTAAAAATATCGAACTTATTAAAATATATCGCATATATATTGCGCATGAAGTAAATTTTTATTGCATTAAATGTATGACACACCTCATTCAATCTTCCTTTTTCTTTTAGATAATTATTACAGCGTCGAGTGCAATAATATAGTAATCATGCAAAATAGATCAGATCATATTCCTGCTATAAGCACTATCGCACCACCTTCGTACACGGAGGCAACAGGAATATCTGCATGGAGAAACAACTCGACATTCGACCAAAGATATCCACACATGAACTTTTCTCCATCACATCATTCAGCGCCGCATTCGTACACACCTTATTCGAATATACCTGTTCAAACTCCTTATCCGGACTATGAGTTGGAACAAAATCAACAAAATCAATTAAACGCACATTATGGCGGAACATTAATAGTCGAAGCTGCAGAAGATAAAAGTATGTTAAAATAAATATTGTAGATACTAGACATTATTAAAGATAATATATGTTTTAACAAAAAAGTTTACTAAAGTTAGAAGAAAATGCTACTATTTATAACAATTGTATTTAACGTACATAAAATATCATTACAGTCCATTAATACATTTTATAAATATTATTGCAATTAGAAATTTATAATTTATATAAAATTAATTTTGATTATTTTAATAAAATAATAATATTACAATAAAAATTTGTTCATTTGTTTCAGATTTGACCAAGTGTATCGTATTTTCGAGAATACTGTGGGTAGGATGTTCGTTAGTAACTATAATAGCTATTCTTGTATTAATAATTAGAGCTTCTTCATCGAGATATTAATTATTATTGCTATTATTCAAATTAATTTGCTTGTAATAATCATTATATAAATATGTATTCGAGATTAATATGTATTCGAAATTTGTATATATATATATATATATACACACACACACACACACACACACACACACACACACACACACACACACACACACACACACACACACACACACACACACACACACACACTATATATA